TAGCATCATTGTATTTGTTTACCAGCATACCTGCTTGATTACTTGAGCATTCATCAATAGGGATGTGCCAATGCCAAACTATATATGTTTAAAACTGACGAGTTGGTGAGTTGATTAATTGGTCCTGGGGAAACCATGGATAATTAGGCTGGCTTAATTTGATAATTTTTCCAGAAATACTGTGTTGTGTATTTACATTATTGTGCTAAATAAATTCTGGTAATTTTTTTCTGGTAAACATTCCTTTAAAAATAATGTTTTAATAATTTTATTAATAATAGTAGTAGAAGAACTATCATTACATTAAGTCATATATTTCTGGCACAGTTACTTCAAGTTAAACCAAACTTTTATTTTGACTGGTTGCTGTGAAGACCTTTACGTTTCTGTTTGTACATGATATGACAATAGTTTTTCTCAAAAGAAACGGTAAAATGATCATGAAGTGACTCTCAGAGCAGTGCTAGAGGTTATGTTTATGTACTGCAGAGGCTGAAATCACCGTAAGCGTCACGTGTGCTTCAGTATGTTTGTAGTAATCGAAGCCACGTGTCTGCGCCATTCATTCACGCAGAACATGCAGGATTCATATTTAAATAGTATTTCTGCAGCTTAATATTCACAGTCAGTAGTTCATATCACGTTGTGATTTAAGTGTAGTTTAGAACACTTCTAATTTTTATTTTTTAAACGTAGAGAGTGTGTGAATTTGTGCAATGATAATCTACCAGCAATGTAAATATGATTTAAAACGCAGAACATGCAGGATTCATATTTAAATAGTATTTCTGCAGCTTAATATTCACAGTCAGTAGTTCATATCACGTTGTGATTTAAGTGTATTGACCTACTTTTGATTTATTCATCCAAAATTTGGCAAATTCCATGACATTTCACGTTATACACTTAATTCCGTTTTTATGACTGGATTGCGATATTCCGTCCGTGTTTTCCGCATCGCAGAAATCATAGGGCCCTATGAAGCTTTTAAGGGGATGAATTTAAAAAACACAACTTTTATGAGAGGGAACCAAATGTTTTTTAAGCAGATTCTGGTCTAAATTGTCTCCAATATGACTTCGCAATGGAGTTGGGTGGAATAAGAATGATTTAATTTCCTTTTCAACCAGCAAATTACAGTAGAACAGACATAGATGAAATCTAATCACACTTGGGTCCTGCAGACCAGTCTCCATTACATCACCGATTGCAGTACTGTATGAAAATTAGTGCTGTGTTCTGGTACAGTTATGGAGGCCCTTCATAATGCAGAGGTCAACTGCCTGCTCTGCCAATAGTTAGAAATGGCACTATAGTATGCAGTGTTAATAAACATCTGTTTTACTAATTTCTTCTGAGGTGAAATTCAGTGCAGTCCCGTATTGTGTTACGTATCATATCGTGGCCTCTGTATCGTGATACGTATCGTATCGTGACTTTGCTGGTGATACACAGCCCTAATGAAAATGGTTCATTAAACCAGGAGGTTCCTGTTTTCAAATGTAATAAGACGCATTCAGAGCTGCCATAAAATAGATTGATACAACAAATATAATACAGCAAAATACAACAAAAATAATTTTTGCAGAGCCCTGGTGTGTTCTTGGTGATTTTTGCTATACAGTGACAAACTCTGTATCAGGTAGGTCAGCAGGTGTAAAAGAAGCAGGGCTGGGTGGTAAATTACTCTGATTGGATTATTCCAACAGATTCAACTTTAGAAGCAAGACGGGTTATGGGTCCAGTAACCACCTGGAGCTCATTTCCAGTTATGTTCAGCATTCTATGTTGTATTGTAGAGTATAGAACTCTTAATCAAATTAAAATATATAAAAAGCCTGGAAGAATGTGCTGACTACTTTTGGACTGAGGTGGTCAAGTCTTCCTCGGTCTGCTTGCATCTAGATTAAAACTTTCCTCTATTTGGGCAGAGATTCAGAACCTTAATCCAATTTATCAGACAGTCAGGGGTCCGTGTCGTGGCTGGGGACCTTTAAAGCCAAGCATCCCAGTTGTAGATTTGTCTTTCCTTTGATTCTTTACTAAGTCCACGTGCAAATGAGGCCACAGATTTCAGGCCCCAAGCCTTTTATTGCAGTCGATTTTATGGATGCACATCGGTCTGATAGTGCTGTCCCTGTATTGATTGTTTTTTTTGTGTGTTCACAGCCCTGACAGGAGCAGCCACACTTCCAGATCATGTCCGGGCCTGTCACGAGTCGATCCCGTGTTTATCCAGACGTCAACACACAGAGGCCGCGGGAGTACTGGGACTATGAATCTCACGTCGTAGAGTGGGGGTGAGGGATTACACTGAATTTTTTCAGCATGTGATGACAATGCAGACTATGATTTTTGAATTTATTTATTTTTTTTATGTGAAAATAAATGTGGACTGGATGGTGGAAGATCACAAAAATTACAGGGTTAACAGTCATAGAAAAGCTGGAAATATCTGTGTACTTTAAAAATGTGTTTTCAGGACTGAAAAAGTCAGGAACATTTCTATGATGAATATACGCTGTTTTTCAGAAGTTTGAGGTCAGGACCTTTTTCTAAAAGAGATTATTACTTTTATTCTGCAAGAATGCATTGAATTGATAAGAAGTGACAGTAAAGACATTTAGAATCTTACAAAAGATTTCTGTTTCAAATAAATGCTGTTTTCTTTAATTTTCTATTCATCTGAGAATTCTGAAAGAAAATGTATCACAGTTTCCACAAAAATATTAAGCAGTTTTCAACTTTGATGATAATAATAAGAAATGATTGATAGGAATAAGAAATGTTTCTTGAGCAGCAAATCTGCATATTAGAATTATTTCTGAATGATTCTTTGAAGACTCGAGTAATGATGCTAAAATTCAGCTTTGCCTCACAGGAATAAATTACATTTTAAAATATATTAAAATAGAAAACACTTTAAATTGTAATAATATTTCACAATATTACTGTTTTTACTGTATTTGCGATCAAATAAATGCAGCCTTGATAAGCATTAGAGACTTCTTTGAAAAACATTTAAAAAAATCTTACCAACCACCTTTTCAACACAAGTGTGCGTTTTTCTAGTTGGGCTCATGTCTTTTTTAATGTTTGCTCACAAGCCATATTAATGTCTGATTTGTAAGTGAATTGTTCTTTTTAGTCTGTTGAATAATTCAGTGTAACAGGTTCACAAATTGCAGAATCAAAAAGGGGTATGATTGTGCCAGTACACGTATTGTTATATAACAATATATATCTCAATACCTTACAATATTGTCCAGAGCCTTGTATCAGTACTTTTATTTATTATTTTACACACATTCAAATCATGTTCAGTAGTAGGTCATCTAAATAATATATCTCTGAGACCATCGTTTCTTAGAGCTTCTGAAACTAAAACCCAGAATTGACTGTTCTCGATTGTGTTTAGGCCAGTTTCAATCTTAATTCAATGCAACTGAATTGAACAGATCACAGGGGTCGTGAGGGCCTTATTGTTCAGTAAAACCACAGTGATAGCAAACTAATGACATTTGATTCATTAAGTTTGAAAGCTTTACGTGTTTAATGATGAAATATTAGGCATCTTCATCTTATTAGTTTTCATTCAGAGTCCCAGGATTATTTGCAGGCATCACAGAGCATAGTGTGAAATACTTCTCTGCAGGGCTACAGTGCTGATGTCTTTATTTGTCTGGACTGGCGTTTCATTTGCACTTGTAATAACAGCTGTCGGACTTGTCAACAGGAATCAAGATGACTACCAGCTGGTGCGGAAACTCGGCCGAGGAAAGTACAGCGAGGTGTTTGAAGCCATCAACATCACAAACAATGAGAAAGTAGTCGTCAAAATACTCAAGGTGAGGAACGTTGTTGTTCCAGACAGCTTTAACGGTGTTCTGACCAGCCCTTGGTCAAGTCAGATTGGGTTCAGTCGAACGGTGAAGACCCTTGGACTTCACAATCCTCTCCAGCTTCTCATTTTTCAAGTAGTTGACGAGAACGTCTGCCGATAAGCCTGTTTACGTTATTGTAGGCGGCGGATGGTATCGAAACCAGAAGCTGCTGGCCGGCGTTCAGATGAACGGGCGCCTGGCAAATTCTTTCCTCACCCCCTCCTCCTGTTAACCAGAGAAAGCTCTAGATTCTAGCGATAACACCTGACTAGCTGAGAGCTTCTTTTCAAGCTAAGTGATAAATAGTTTTGAAGATTAGCGGCGTTGTCCTGTAATGTAGCCAGTCGTGTGCAATGAACTTCCCCTGCCTGGAGACACGAAGGATGAAGCCGCACAGATTGAGTCTAGACGCAGTCAGATTGGATGTCATTGCGTCAAATTCATCTGTTCTGCAAGACAACGTGAAATCAAAATTGAGCTTATTTACATTCTTAATATCTCTGAATGGAGCGATGAAGTAGTTGTGCTTGTGCCGAATCTGGCTTGTCATTTTTCGCAGCTGTTCTTTTTCAAACCCATTATCGAAACGGATAACTATTTTTTTGCTGATGTAACCAGTGGTTGTGAAAAATAAACTAATAATCCCATAACCCACTTTTCATGACCGCCCCAAAATTTTGTATTTATGTATGTATGTATGTATGTATGTATGTACAGTGTTTCTTCTAGACTTTTCCAGAATTTTCCAACTTTTTCAACTTCCCCACTGAGGCGCACACACACAGGCCACTTTCTGATGAATTGAAAAAGTAAAACCATCAACCATCTCTGTCAAAGATTTAAACTGCCACAGAAAGAGAGACAGTATATCCACCTCAATGGCAGAGCGTGCAGCCTGACTGGGAACATTTGATTTTTTTGTTTTTTAAATTACAAGCATAGATAAATACAATATAGCAAAGTTACAAATAAAATAAGGTCTAGTAGTATTCGGGTACAGAAATATAATAATTAAGTGTAAAATAACACTGCATCGTGTTCACTGTATAAATTAAATACAGATTAATCTTTGTCAAAGCTGTGTTTTGTTGTTTGATTAGTATTAATGATACAGACAGCTGCAGGTATTTATAGGCTGCTGTCTCTTTAAGACCCGATGCACAGATCCAGTATAATGGTACACATCCGGTTTCTTTCTCAGCTGTTTTCGTTCAGTTAAGACTGTGTTTACCAGAATAATTGTCGAGATGGGTATTTTGACATAATTTTATGTTATGTGTCTGTTCAAACACAAGGGGATGTGAAAGAGGAATTAACTAGCAATTCAAGTGTGTGTGGCTGTGCGCACCGAAAACAGCACGTTTGTTTATCCATCATATATTTTAAAGAACCAACAATGACTTCAAATGCTTTGTAACCGTGAGTATAGACCGTTAGTTTCAGCCTGGCATATAAATTATATGCCGTTATATGATGCGTTGCGGTTCTTTTATTCCGCGCAGGCTAGGGTTTGTTGAGAATGCAAGACTTATTTTTGTAATTGACATAATCGATTTGGTCAACGCGTCAGTGCAGCCCAAATATTTTCCAGTGTGTGGCTGTGACTCTGCTGTAAATTATTACCCGATTGTGAATGATGTGACTGAGAAGCTGCGGCTGTGGCGGGGGATTATTTTCATGGCAGGATGAATGTAGCGGAAACACTGTATGCATGTATTTATGTATAAAATGTCATTTTGAATATTCTCTTAATATTGTCTAATATTCAAGCTTAAATTGAATAGATTTCTTTCATTTATAATCTATATATATTTTAAAATTAAGTTAAATTCTGTAGAATATAGAAAATATTTTTTATTTAAAAAAATACTTATCCAATCACAAATGATTGCAAGTTAAAGTTGCAAATGCTGTTATATGTTGTCTTGTGTTGTGTTTTTGTCTTTTTATCCATATGTAGCCAGTAAAGAAGAAGAAAATCAAGCGGGAAATTAAAATTTTGGAAAATTTGAGAGGCGGCCCCAACATCATCGCACTTCTAGACATTGTCAAGGATCCAGTGGTCAGTTGGCTTTCTTGAACATGATGTTGGCATGTGAAATTACATGCATGTACTTGTATAGAGTATGTTTCAAATGTGTCTCTAACTGAAGTCTCTTGCGTTTCTCCTTGAAGTCTCGAACCCCAGCTCTGGTTTTTGAACATGTGAACAACACAGACTTCAAGGTAAATCACTTCTCATAACTGCCAAATCAATTCTGCCACCTCAACTAAATGTAACACAAAAAAATCTGTTTAGTCAAACTCAAGCATTCTCTTCTGTCATGCAGCAATTGTATCAAACGCTATCAGACTACGACATTCGGTTCTACATGTATGAGATCCTAAAGGTAAGTTCCTTCTGATATCATCTTAAAGTATCACAAGTCTGTACCTAATTTTTTTTTGTTTATACCATTTTTACTTGTATTTTTCAAATGTGTTTCAAACTCTCCCCAAACTCTCAGCCAAACAACAGGGAATCTCAATATGTAGTGTCACACAATTGGGCCACTTTCCGTGTTTTTGTTTGGTGCTACTAGTTGCTCAGATGTTACACACTTCACCTATAAGTGCTACTCAACAGCTATGTTGTTCATTTACACTTGCTGTTAGTCAGTTGTGGGAGTAAATAAAAAAAAAAAGGTAGTTTTTGTTTGTGAGAAAAAACATGGGGGACATTGTTGTGAGTATTGGTAAATGTGCTGTAATTCTGATTTGTTAGTCAATGTACTTGTATATACACCATTTTCTTTTAGGGTAATTTTACAGGATCACATTCAAAGATTCTATTAATAATCTCAAATATTTTAATATCCATTCTTAAATGTAATAATTATCTTTAGTGTATATTCTATGTATTTTTATATTGCATTGAATTCTGTAGAATATAAATTTTTCTTGTTATGCTAGAAAATATTCTAAATAGTTTTGATATTGGAATATTTCATCCGCTACTTTATTTATTTTTTATTTAAATAAATGATTTATTGGTCAGAAGATGTGGAATGTCAGGTATTTGTAATGTCTAGTTCTAAGTGTGTCTCTCTGTCTTTCTCAGGCTTTGGATTACTGCCACAGTATGGGAATTATGCACAGAGATGTGAAGCCACACAACGTAATGATCGACCATGAACACAGAAAGGTACTCCCTATTCATTTACTCACGTCAGCAATTGTGTTACGCCATCTCACTCTGCAAGTCTGATGAGTAATACATGCACCAATCAAGAATCAGAGTTTGCTGTAGTAAAAGAGAAGCATTGCTTGGTGCTGTGACGTCAAGCACATTTGAGCAAGATCGAATTTAAAAGTCTACAAATTGCATGTTCTCTGCGTCAACACTGACGCTGATGTGCGATGTTGAGCAAATCACACAAATCATGATCATGAATTATTAATTATTCCCCCTTTGACTGAATTCACATTTGAATCTTGTCTGTTCGTGTGTGTTTTGTGTTTTAGCTGCGTCTGATAGACTGGGGCTTAGCAGAGTTTTATCACCCTAGTCAGGAGTACAACGTCAGGGTGGCGTCTCGATATTTCAAAGGACCTGAACTGCTGGTGGACTATCAGGTGAGAATGACACGAGAAACTAGATGCAGGGATACAAACAGTTTTTGCTTGGCTTGTTGCTTGAGCATCAAAAGCATCTGTTCAAGCATCTGTTGAATAAACATGCACATACAGAAGCAGTGCAACATTTAGTTGTTTGGCAAGTTTGCGGCTCTTTTGAAGCTCATGTTGCTTTTGTCCCACAGATGTATGACTACAGTTTAGACATGTGGAGCTTAGGCTGCATGTTGGCGAGTATGATCTTTCGGAAAGAGCCTTTTTTCCATGGACATGACAACTATGATCAGGTGAGACGTGCTGCTTTTAGGCCTTTTCAAATATTCATTGTTGCCATGCTGTTTTATAGTGACCAATTTTGTGGTTGAATCACAATTCGCATACTATTCATCTTATAAAATGTAAGATCAGAATTTATTGGTCTCCAATCGTAGCATGTAAGAGAATGTGCTTTGATGGTGTGTTATTTTTGAGTTTTAGTTTTAAGTGCTAATATTTCCCACAATCCCTTGTACTGATAAAAAGGAAGGCTGATAATGGCTTGCTGATTACTTGTTGTAGTTTGTTCCAATGTCCTAGTGTCTGTCTTCATAAATTCATAAAAAATAAATTTATAAAAAGTTCAGTACTTAATTTGCAGTTTGGACATGGAGCTTATTTTCTGTAGCAATCCAAAAGCCCATGGAAAGATCCTATTGGGCTTTTGTGGAGGGAACCAGCATGATGCTAATTTCTGGGTCATGACTGCAGCGCTCTGTTCAGCTGGTTTGATCTGTCGAGTGGTGGCTGCTGCCCTCTGCTGTTTTTAACCAGTTCTGTCTCTCTTTCCAGCTTGTACGGATTGCCAAAGTTCTGGGCACAGAGGACCTCTACGACTACATCGACAAATACAACATTGAGCTCGACCCACGGTTCAATGACATTTTGGGAAGGTACGTTGAGATATGGGATTGTTTTTATGCATGTAATACTTTTTACCTGCAATTTAGATTTTTATCTCTCTTTCATTTGTCCTCTCTTTCTCCAGACATTCCCGGAAAAGGTGGGAACGGTTTGTCCACAGTGAGAACCAGCACCTGGTCAGTACCGAAGCTCTGGACTTCCTGGACAAACTGTTGCGCTATGACCACCAAGCTCGTCTCACCGCGCGTGAGGCCATGGAGCACCCTTATTTCTGTGAGTGTCTGCTCTCTGGCATTTTATTCATATACTTATTCATAACTTGAACATCACTGCGGTTCGAACCATAATGTGTTTATTTTATAGAACAGTGTGTGTGCTTTCTTGTAAAACGCACCCTATTGTTTGAAATATCATGTATTGTGATGAAATGAGTGTAAAGGTGTTCAGCAAGGATGAAAAGGTGTGTAGAGGCCTATGAAATATTTTTATATTTTACAAATTCCATTTTTTTTTTTCCTGTTTGTAATTTTTCAGGATTCTGTTTGTTTGTTTTGTTTGTTTGTTTTTAAACCATGGCTAATTAATTGAAATCCTAAAACTTGTACAATTCAACAACAGTTGATGAAATAGTTTTAGGGCCTTTATTTGTTCCCAAATTTAGTTTTATTTTCACCACATTCTGTGTGTTAATGTTTGTCTAATCAGGTGAATTCATGAAACTTAAATTTGATAATTTAACTTTAAACTTTAATTAAAATTTTTATATAATATATGATTTAATAAAAAAAATAGTTTTTTTTCAAATCAAATAAATTAAACCGTGAAATGCTCTTAAAATTAGTTTTTTTTGTTTTTTTAATTCATCCAAAATTTGTTAAATTCTGTGACATTCTCTGTTGTACTGGGAGTTCCGTTCTTATGACTGGATTTCGTGATTCTATCCGCATTTTCTATATCGCAGAAATCATAGGGCCCTTGGTGTGCATCATCTTTCAGTCAGAACTAAAGTGGTGGTCATGTGGAAGCTGGATTTTTTAAATTATTATTTATTAATTTTTTTGCTCTTTTGAAATAGAAGTTTAATGTGCTGTACTGATTATGCCTCAATGTCCAGCATGAATTTCATGACTGTGTTCATGTCTCGTCATGTATCAGATCCCATTGTGAAGGACCAGGCGAGGATGGGCTCCACTTCAGGACTGTCCACTGGCTCCACTCCAGTCAGCACGTCCAGCATGATCACAGGTCAGTCATGTGCTTTCTGAGTGAACTTTCATTTGGTTGAGCTCACAAATTCTAATAAAGCATTGTGTCTGTTTTCCTGTAGGAGGCATCACATCCATGTCCTCGTCCCAGCCGATGGCCAACATCGCAGGTTCTCCTGTCATCTCCTCTCCCAGTGCTCTAGCCACACAGGTTCCTGCAGCCGCTGGTGCCCAGCCCTGAACAGACTCACTCATGCTCTCTCTGCCCTGGGCCACATTTTTATGTTGAGTGTAAACAAACGAAAGAGAGACTAAATTAGGTTTCTTTTTTTTTCCTTTTCTTTTTCCATACAATAATTATATATTGAAGCTCGGACACACAGCAGACAGTTATGTTGCGTCAGTGTCCGGCAGTCTTTCCTGATGATGGTGTCTATATAGAAGCCACTACAGTGTAGAAATTTAGAAAAATGGATAATAAAATTTATTTTATATGTCCCTACGTTGGCTTCCGTTTGTTAATTGAACAATTGTTGATATTTTACAGGTTAGGGGAATTAAATTTTAAGTTGAAATGTATTGCAGTTATAATTCATAGAAAAATATCAAGGTGCAAGAACCTTCTTTACATGCATTTAGCAGATGCTTTTATCCAAAGTAATTTTATTGTAAATTAACAACAACAAAAACATTTAATTTCAACAAATTTACCAAAAATGCAGATGCCCCCATCTCGGAAACTCTGGGTGTAAAGAAAGTGTTAAAAGCGGAAACTTGCATTTTTGCAACTTCAATCATAATGTAAAATAGTAAGTCTTACATTTAATACAAAGCATTTGCTGAACTTAGCCAAGATTATCTTGTATAGTAATCCAGTTTGGCCTAATAAGCATCAAAACGTGAAGAATATCGGGGGAAAAGTATTAAGTACACTTCATTCTTCAAAATGTGTCTTTGTGTTCCAATGAAGTTGGTTCTGAATAATGGTGAGTAAATTACAATTTTTTTGAATGTGAGAAAGATCTATTGAGGAGTGATGAATTAAACAGCTGCAGCAGCTTCACACACAAATCTTTTCTCTTCAAAACAGTAAGCATCCATCCAGAAATCCGTCTCTCCGCCTGGATGTCCCAGACCAGCACAATCTTCACCGTCCGGATGAAATTTAGTCCAGTTATCAGGCTCACTGATTTCATTCTCTCGTTTCATCCAGAATCTGCAGAAAGAAAAAAACAAAACGCTTCTGTTTAAGTAAAGACCTGCTAATTACCTTCATTTATAGCTAGTTTTAATGCAAAGGATTTATTGTCAAGATGAAAGAAGATCTTACTCTACTGAATTGTTAACTGGCTGGTTATTCACCCAAACCCAGTGACCCTCGGTGTCCACATCATTAAGACCAATCCAGTGAGTCTCTTCAACATTAGAGGTAACAAAATCCTGATGGAGAAAAGAATAAAAATACATTTCCTGATATAATGCACATAAGGCTTAGAGCACAGCAATGTATAGCCTAAAATTTTAAGTCAGTGTAAAATCTAAATTATCGACTATTTGTTGGTTTTAGAATGATTCTTCAAGGAATGTTATTCTAAATAAATTATTCTTTATTCTTTAGTAATCATTAGGCAACAATTTCATTAAAATGTAACTGCTGAAATTACTTTCTTAGGTAATATCACGCATCTAATTGAACACTTTTGATGTATTTGTTCCCCTCCTGCCGTTTACTGTCAGTGAGCAAGCCGTGCCTTGTGGTGGAATAAGATGCTAACCTTTACCCAATCTGCTGAGACTTGATTGCTAAAATGTCATTAGTGGACTTAAAAATGTCTTAATATGTGACCCTGGAGCACAAAACCAGTCTTAAGTCGCTGGGGTATATTTGTAGAATTTAAAGGCGTTTTTCTCAATATTTAGATTTTTTTGCACCCTCAGATTCCAGATTTTCATATAATTGTATCTCGGCCAAATATTGTCCTATCCTAACAAACCATACATCAATGGGAAGCTGCAGCTTTGAGGTGATGTATAAATCTCAATTTCTGAAAAATTTACCCTTATGACTGGTTTTGTGCTCTAGGGTCACATATAGAGAAAATATATAATTTTGATTTGTTTCAATGTGAGCAAAATTCAACTGTAGAATATGAAATCTGATCTCAGAAGGCCTTATCAAGTGTTTAACTAGTAAACACACCTGCTCTGCTTTGCTGTTTATGATCACTAGATGTCCTCCTAGAGTCACACAGTGATCTCGACTCTGTGTCCAGTTCATCTTGACTGTAGAGTAGTAGTAACACTTTCCTCCAGAATGAATCCAGTGGACTGCACAAAGTGCACAACCTGTACTGTCTTTTGTAAAAGAGGTAGTGATGATTTAATTATTCATAATTTCACACTACGTCTTTATTTTTGAGATTTTGCTTATGTGTGTGAAAGGTCTTTTAACATTGCACAAGGCTCAGATCATAAAACTTACGGTTTAATCTGCTCAGCTTTTCAAGTGTCTTCTTATGCTGGTTGCGGAGCACATCAAACTCTTCTTTGTAATCTGCATGACAAGGCCAAAAAAAGAAGAAAAGAAACGCAATCAAGATGAAATGATCCAATGATCCATTCTTCAGACCATGGTTTTAAATTAAAAAAAAAACAGAAAAAAAAACAGACAAAGTGACTCTGTACTGGATCATGAAATATATTTTACTCACTTGTGCCATTAGTTTTCTTGGCAGACAGTTGCACTGAAACTCTGACATCTGATTAAAAACAGAACATAAGCAGAAGCAGTGATGGCACACCATATATTATATAATAATCTATTTGAGTTATACTCACACAGTATCCCCAGAATACAGAGACCTCCAAGAGCAAAAACCAGACAGACAGCAAAAACAATCAGAAGAACTTTAGTCCATTTAGGGAGATAAACTTCTCTCTCACTTTCTTGAATTTCAGTGGAGTTACCTGTGGTTATAAATTTGATTATATAAAGGAAATCATTTCTGAACCTTTGAATCAGTGTATTATTTCTGTCCAGAACTTTTCCTGAATTTATATTTGCCTAATTTCTGACATATATATAAAAAAAGACAACATGTCCCAACCTCACATTTGTACTCTTGTCCTGAGAACACAATCCAAACTTTGTTGAAATCTACCTTCATTATAATTGACTCTGAGTGTGTGTTTTATGTACTGTATTATAAATGTACTGATATTATCATTCGAAGGATAGAATTTACAAATATTATTTAATTTTTATATTAAAATATTATATAACTTAACAGGGTATCAAACTGGATGTTTGAAATTTCTGACTCAAAATCCTGTACAGCAGTAACTGAGGTAAAGATCTTGTGACAACTAGGCCTGTGCAACAACTTTCTATTATGACAAGTGAGAAAAAATACATTAACTTTTGCTTCACAGCATCTTGAGAACATGAACACTTAAGGTGGTCATGAAAAAGGTTTTGATTATAACTTGATGAATTTTGTTAAATCCTGTTCAAAAGTGTGTTAAAAGGGAAATAACCACTAATTAATTGATCTGTGTTTTGTTAAAAAGTGTAAATGAGATACGTGAGTATGTTACCTTTCCTTAGAACTGTTTAAATCCGTTTTACCTGCAAAAGTGTAATTTTAACCAAGGCATTAATGCAGTGTGCCGTTGTATGTTACCGTGGAAGTTAGCCTGTGAAGCGTGCTAATTTCTCTTTGTTTGAATGCTTAGCAGAAGCAGGCAAATTGATTGTACAGCGATTGATAACTACATGTTTCCAACTTATGCAGGCATGGTTATGTATTTTTATGTTTTGGTGATTTCTTTGTTATGCGTGTTCGAACTTGATTGGTTATATATATCAAATGCTGAAATGTGGGCGAATTAAGTGGTACATTATGTAAGTTGAATTTTTAATATGTGGAGGAAATTTTTCTGTATTATTTGCTTCACTGTACTAAAGAGCATTCTTTAGACTGTCTCAGTTTGCTTCAGTATGCTTTTTTTTCGATGTTTTTTTTCCAAGTTTTCGATGAGCTGAGAGATAACAGGAAATCTATTTGATGTGTGTGTGAGCAAGACAAGTGTGAGACAGAGATGTTATTTTAGTTTCTTAGATGTCCTGGCTACTTGATGCTAATGTAATGATTTGCATTAAATTCTTAGAAACTCATCTGGAGGACATAGTTTAACACTTTAAATGGACATATATGTTGTATATGCATTATGATTGGATGAGATCAAAGCATCCGCATTTGATGAATGTATAAATGTTGAGTTTGGGTGTTTTCTCTTCGTTGCAATCTATAGCCAACCCTGAATGACTGTATGAATGTAGACCTTTTCCTGCAGGAAAATAAATATTCAGAAGACTTTTGTCTCATACCTTTACTGAAATAGAAAATTGCCACGACAATTTGGTGTCAGAAAGTGGGATGCCTTGTGTGGACCCGGAGGAACACCACTGGCATAATTTTGAAAAGAACTCGGTGGCAATCAAGAAAAAAAGTGGTAGGAGACATTACGTTTTTGAACTTTGGGATGTTTGTTCTGGGATGAACTCATTTAAGCCAACGAGGTCTGTGCTTGCTCCTAGTTGATTAAGGGTGTATTCACACCAGGAAAGTCCGCTAGTTCACTTGCTTTGGTCCGGACCAAATACAATGTTGTTGTTTTTTTTTGGTGTGGTTCGCTGTCACACTGCCCTTTTTGCAAGTGAACAAGAAATTGTAAACAAAACCACATGTGTGCTAAAGTCATCCATTCATTGGACAGAAATTCTCAAGCGTACCAGAGTCCGTTTGGAACCGGACCGAGACCACCTCTTCAGCTGGGTCTCGGTGCGGTTGTTTGGTCTGCACTCGAGTGCGATTGCTGTATTCACACCTGCCCAAAAGATCCACACCAAGGGGGGAAACGAACTTGAGGTCGATTCAATCGAACCAAACAAGACAGGTGTGAATACACCCTTA